CCAGAGAGAACTGAATGTACACTGACAAATAGATTATTACTGCAGCCACAGACCTAACTAACTTGTGAGTTTAGGATTGAGACAAATTCGTGAAATGTCTGGAAAATAATGTTCCCCTTTTTGCATTTTTGTGACAAATAAAGCAAGGAATTTGTTTCCATTCTGACAATTTGATGCTTTCATATACAATTAAGGACCCTATGAATATATTTGGGACAAAAAGAATAGTCTTTAGCATTTATCAGAAGAAAAACTACCATATTTTTTATAATTTAGGAGGCACTAAGCAGACTAATAAAACCCTGAACATTTAATAAATACAATCGTTAAATTAAGAACTTACACTAACAGTATGTATGAAAATACAAACCAAAATACTTTTCATGTGTTATGTTTATTTAGAGTAGATTCACACTGTAGATATTCTAAAAGAACATAATGATGGGGATCCTTAATGGTAGGAAAATAGTTCAGGTCTTCAATATTTTAATCTTTTTTGTTCCAGAGCTTGTACTTGCAGATGATCCACCTATTATTTATAGCAGCTATGACAGGCCCTGCCAGTAGGAAGATTTTTATTCCTGCATATGAGAATATAGAATATACTCCTTTCTGAACTGGGTAGAATTGCTCATAGTGCTGCTACAAGGGAGCACCAGATTTTCTCAGTGTTACAAAAAACCATCATTACCATGCCAGCAAGAAGAAACAATCATGCAGCTTTTTCAGCTGGTCACTGGCAGTGGATAGGATTTTTGTCTTGGGCTTATTTCCAGCTAGCATCTCTAATTCTTTATGGAAATAAGACTTGCACCAGCAACACCACTACTGGATCCATTATAATAAATGCACTATTTCCCAGTTTTGTAATCTCTCATTCTCTCTGCTTGGGAAGTCGGCACACAGACTTTCACTGGGTTTTACAAAGATTAGCCACTATATAAAGAAATATAAAGACATATATATTTCTGTAATAATTTCTGTAATAATTTCCTTGCCTAGCAAATAGGCCTTGTGTTAGAAAATGTTTTTCAGATTTTCTTAGGAAGTTTACACAGGAATAATCCAAGTGACTTTCTAATCGGTTATCTATGCAGTGAACGAGTAGAGAAGTAAGCCTAGTGAGAACGACAAATCTCTTAATGTTTTTCTTACCTAGCCAGGGTTCTGAACTAGCATTGCAGGGAAGAGAGCTTGCTAATCATTTCAAGACTGAGGGAACTCCAATTATGATTGGTAAGTGCTTGAATACTGAAGAATGCTAATGAAAGTGTATGTCCTCCCTGTGCTGAATTTCATTTCAATTAGAACCCATTCCATTTACTGTACAAGAGTTAATCAAAACTGAAGATTAATTAAAAATTACGGTTTTCCCAAGGTAGCCTTGAAAATGATACAGTTTGGTCTGGTTGGTATCTTTTTATTTAGTATTTCTTTCAAGCTCAGTATTAAATATAGTAACAAAAGTCAGTCTAAAGGGCGTTTTTATAAATTCCTATTAAGTCAGAACTTGAGCAGACTTCCATTCTCTACAGGAGCAGACATTCATAGAGTTCCCCAAAACTTTCCCTCAGAGAAGAATACTGTTTATCTGGCTTGGAAAAGAAGGGTATTATCCAAATTTGCTTTAAGACCAGTTTTAATAATCTGAAATACTGGTATGATAAGAAGTGCCATTTGTACAAATACTGTGACATTAATTTAACTATTTTTTCCATGCTGTGTTTTGGGAAATTAGTAATATTTATATTGTTATTTTCAACTTTAAAAACATTAATTAAAGCAATTTTTCAGCCTGTATTTGTCGTTCCATAATACAGTGTAACTTTCTCAAAACAGAAGTGCCAGAAGTCCAGACTTTGTTACGGTGATGGTTTAGATTAGATATTAGGAAGAAATGTTTCCCTGTGAGACACCAGAACATCTGCGCAGGGAAGCTGTGGATTCCCCAAGACCAGCCTGATGGTCCAAGGCTCAAGGCCAGGCTCAGTGGAGCCTTGAGCACCTGGTCTAGTGGGACATGACCTGCCCATGGCAGGGGGGTTGAAACTGGGTGATACTTAAAGTCCCTTACAATCCAATCCATGCAATGATTTTATTAAATATTCTTGGCCTTTTGGCAGCCTTTTTGTCTGAATTTCAAGAATGTAGAATCCTATCTTGAAAAATATTTTAGTCTGTAACTTACCCTTCCCTGTAATGCTCTCTTGTAGGTTGGTTTAATTTTTGTTGTCATTGGAGGGCTGGAGCTGAGCTTTTTGAGGGTGGGTTTTGGGGATTGGTTTTGCTTGTATTCTTCAGGGATTTTGCAATCCCTATGTGCTGTGTGGAGTAATTGCTACAATATCACGGGGAAGTAAAGTATTGCATGTTACCTGAAAGAAACATGCAAGAGTTGACCTGTGCCCATCTCCCCCTTTTCCTGTTTGCAGTCTGGGGAAAAGGATATCAGCATTTACTATTCTGCCCCTAATATTCTTTGATGTAACATAGCAGAAAACAGCAGATAAACCTCATCCTGGAATTCTGATTTCTCTTTCAATTTTAGTCCTTTTACAACCATGAAATTTTGCAGATTTTTCCTACAGTTAGGTTTCTTTGAAGAAAAAGTGCAAAAGGGGTGTTTGAAATATTCTTGACTTCATCTGGTTGAAGTGCTGAAGATTTAACCTGCCTTGCTGACTAGGAAGAAATTTGAAAATATATTCTCTACTTACTTTAGTTACTACAACTAAACTTTCTTAGATGTAGTAAAGATACTTTGTTTAATCATGTGAAGAATGTTAAGACACTTTCAGAATCATCTTGATACAAGCTAATCCATTAATAGAAGGTTTTGATGTACTTTTATTTAACCCTTGCACATTAAATCAATCCCAGTGAAAAAAATATCAGCAATCTCTGTTTCTCCTATTTTAGGTGGAGGTGTTTTGGCTCACACGATATTAGGAGTGGCTTGGAATGAGACTACAGGGCACATTAAATATTTGATTCTAGACCCACATTACACTGGAGGAGAAGATCTGCATGTTATTCTGGAAAAGGTGAGGCTTAATGTACATATACACTCACATATTTATGTATATACACGTATTTTGGCATTAACTAAATAATGTCCAGCAAAATACAAAGTGGCCATTCTATGGCTTCTCCATTCCTTATGGAAGAAGCACTGACGCCAGTTTAACTGCATACTACAATATACTAAGTATTGTCAGTTTCTGAAACTTAGTGCCTTCAGAGATGTATCAGATCAGAAGCTACATCAAGTTATACTACAAAGCAATGTTCTTTATTTTATATTAATTCACCCATCTTCCCTTTTACCCAGGAGTATATATGATAAATGTATTTTGTATTTTGAATAAAATAGAAAATTCTGTTCAGGCTGTAAGATGCTCTAAATGAAACAGAGAAGATAATTTATTTTAAATTTTAAAAGTTCTTTTTAAAATCCAGCACTAGCCATTCTCAGATCAGGCCTTTAACAATGATTAGAGGGTAGGTACTGAATTTTTTTGAATATGTGGAAGAACTGCAAATGCTATGGGGTATGTAATGTCATTTCCACATTTAAAGCCACTAAAAGGGATGATGCAGCACATTACAAAACAGCAAATAAAGTGTCAGAAATGTAAACTCTTAAAGCAGCTTAATCGTCCTGTAAGTGCTAGGTAACCAATGTCTTCTCTATTTTTATATTAAGTTGCAAATAATAACTTTTATTTCTAATCTTTGATACCCTTGTATAGGCCCAACCAAAAAAACAACCAAACAAAAAACCAAACCAACAAATAAATCCAAACAAACAAAAACTGACACAAAAAACCCAACAAACAAAAAAAAAGGAGCTGTTTAAGAAACATTGTACTGGCCTATAATGATCAAAGCTTGAAATGAACACAGGAAGAAACAATTTCCAAAGAATATGTAGGACCAAAGGCTGTTACAGCTACTAGCTGTTAGAATGGTTCAGTGGTCCAGGAGGATAAAAATAAATGCAGGACCCACTTTCCTCATCAGAAGTGTCTAGGGAGGAACTAAGGGAAACTGTGAGAATGACGGCATTTCAGAATAACATTAGCCTCTCAGGAGCAGCAGAAGGTAGTGGAGAGGTGGGATGGGGACAAGATGGTACGTGGTAAGAATTAAGCTGGGGAGGGAGGAAGAGGGAGAGAATCTTTTTGTAATGTGGTTTCCATTAATGTGTTTCCAGGCATGTAAAGAACTTTCAGAAAATTGTCATTGCCTTCTGTAGACATTTGAAAATAATTCATACAGCTTAGATTAGTATGATTAATAAAGTAAGAATAGACTCAATAGTAGTAGACAGGAAAAACAGAATTCAAAGTAGATTTAAAAGCTATCTTGCTTTTCCTTGGACAGGGCTGGTGTGGATGGAAGGGCCCGGAGTTTTGGAACAAGGACGCCTATTATAATCTGTGCCTACCTCAACGACCAAAGGCTATTTAAATTCACTCTTACGCTGAACGTGCCGAGACAGAATAGTAGATGATCTAGATAAAATTGTCCTGTTATTTATCAAAATAATGCTTTAAGTCAATCAAACCCCACTTGAAATAGAAATTTTGGCTGAATGGCTTAAATTAAGAAACTATTTTTTTTAAAAGAAACCTCTAGAAATAAGTTACCTGCTTTGAACTGTATTCCTTACAAATGCATTTATTAGGCAACAAATACTCTGTATTTTCCGTAGCACAATTTTAGGCTTATATAGTATTTCCTCTCCTGCTAGAATCATTTTAGATTAAATGCCAAATCTGTTTGTTTTATGGAATTCTTTCCTGACAAAAAGATAAACTGTCCTCTGTGTTTCAAATTCCACTTAGCCAGCTGTGTTGTCCATTATGAATCTGTTTAAAGGCCTTGTTTGTTGCTGGTATTCTTGATGACATATTTTAAGAGAGGGAAAAGAATGGCTATATTTACTGAATTTTATTAATTTTTCTGTCATATTTACACAGAAAAAGCAAGATAAATAATTTTCCTATGCTCATTTATTTATAGCTGAACGAATTCAAGTTCCAGGGGGGAAAAAGCCTCACAAAATTCTTCTGTAAGAAGTAACAATAAACAAGCTTTCCTCCTTCTCAGAAGGAGACAATGTCCCAGCACACACATCTGACTGCTCAGTGTATCATCCAGTCATGGTTCTTCAGATTCCCCTTATTTCATGTTAGGATTACAAGCTGTTTCTTCTGGCAACTAGGATACAAGATCTGTCATAGAAACAAGTCTGTGGCTACTTCATCAGTAATAGTACCCATGATTTTCATTTTTTCTGTGTCGAAGTAGCCTCATAAGTGATATTCCACATGTACTGTCCATATCGAAGAAGACTCTCACCTTAAGTACCTATGCAAGTTCATCCTTACTAGGAGACTTCTAAATCTAACTGCTCTAACACACATTTGTTTTACTTAGATGCTAAAAACATTTTTTAAAATATTCTGCATTGTATTAAACCAACACTATTACACACCATCTGATCTTCTCCTCTTCCTGTTTACGGATCTGCTGGTTTCACTTTCCTGTGTCTGTGCAGTTGGATCCTCTCTCTGCAAGCCATGTCTGTCACTTAGCGAGTATCCAGACTGTCCTTTCAGTTTCATTGTCTGAGTGTGCTGAATTGTCCTCAGGAACTTGGCACATTCCAGAAAGCCATAATCCAGTGCAAGGTCTGTCCACTGTTGTTGCATAAGCTGAAATACAGAATTAACAATAACTGATTAAACTGAAATAATGAGCAAGCACTGATAAAGTGGTAATTTAGGCAAATGTATAAAAATAAGTACTGAGAGTCAATACCAAGAAGGTTTGTCATGGATAGCATAGGGCTCATACAGGGGGTTGGTATTAAATACAAAAAGGAATAATTACTTTAAAATAATTTGTCATCAGACTATTACCGGCTTTAGCATATCAGAAAGGCAAAAAGAGTGTGAGATTATGATCAAGAATATTCTCTCAGCAGTTAACACAGGGGTATATAGCTAAACAACAGCATGTGAGCAGGCGGTCGGTGCTCCTTTGGTATTTTTGTCAGTTTTTAATACTCCTATGGCTATAGTCATGCTATGTTTACAGCCTTAGCATGTGTGTTCTGAGCAAGTTAAATGTACTCTGTAAAATGTACATCCTTTGATGCTCTTACTGAAGTTACTAAATGTCACTCAACTTACTCAATTTTAGCATCACCAGCAACAAGGAGAGCAAGACATTCCAAACTCCCAACTTTTGCTGCTTTATGTATCGGGGCTTCTCCAAGGCAATCCTAAAAACACAATTTATACATAACAGTCATTTGCAAGAAGAGGAATAGGATAAAGCTGTCTTGTTCTCCAAAATGACTGTTTATGTATACCATAAACTGTAGTCAGTTGTGAGTTCAGAGAGAGATTAAAGGAATACAGCTAGTAAAGTGTACTTGGTAATGACCATTAAATGTCTAATGTATTCATCAGCACAAAACAGAAGGGCTGTCTCCTGCAGTACTCATTGTTTAACCCTTGCCTTCTAAAAGATAACTTACACAGAATACTCTCTGCATGGATTAACAGCATCTCTCAGCACCATTCAGGGATTGCTGTGATCAATAGCTTGCTACCAGCTCAGAGGTATAAGGAATTAAACTAAGCAACTCAAGTAAAAATCCTTACATTTACTTGAAGTAGGGACAAACTTTTGGAGGAAAAATAAATACTCAGTTGTGTAAAATAATTAAGTTGTTTGGACATCTGCATGCAGCACTCGTAAGTGTGAAAATTAAATTATACACTGCAAGTGAAGTTGCTAATGCAATAATATACAGGATTTCTGGTTCATGCTAGAATAAGCAACCCTAGATATCTCATGCAATACAACTGAGCATAAAAAAACCCTCTCTTAGAGAAAAAGTGTGTCAATAATAGTAAGTGGATTTACTTCTGCATTCTAGATTAGAAGTAGAAGGAATAAAATGTATGTGGTTTTTACCTGTTGGTTTAAATTTGCTCCTGTCTGCAGTTGCCAAAGTAGGAAAAATGCTTCACCACCACAAGCAGCCAAGTGAGCTGGAGACTGACCAGAGGCATCTGCAGGTGCATTCACACCGCTTCCTGTCTCAAACAGGTTGCTGAAACTACCAGACTGAAATGAGATATCGAAAGAAAAAAAATGTTACTTCCAGTGTAAACCAGGGCAGGTCTCTGAATACTGCGCCACAGCAAAAAAAAATCCCCTTGCAAATCACTGGACCTTCATGTTCCTTGAAACTGCCTTTTAAATATTTTCTTTTTTAAAGAGCAGTGCAAGAAAGACTCTTTTGGCTTTTAATCTCTTAACCAGAAATACCGATCGACAGCGGCAGTGCCCCAACATTAACCCCGCAGCTCAAGGCAAACACCGCCGCACTCACTTCCGTAGCTGGGCTCTCGGTAAGACAGAACCACAGGCAGACCCTCCCAAACCTCACCTCTGCACTGCAGTCCAGCATCAGCATCGCCTCGCCTTGCTGGGCTCGGGGCTGTGGGGGCACCGAGGCGCGGGTCCGGCCGTGCCCGCCTCCGCGGCCGGCCGTGCGCGCCGGGCCGCAGCCCCGCCCCGCGGGCCCGCACGTAGGCAGCGGCGCCCGCCGCCCCACGGCAGTGCCGGCGGGGCCGGGGCGCGGGGCTAGCGGCGGGGGCGGCCATGGGGCGCGGGGCCGCCCGGCACGTCCCGCACACACTCGCCGGCCGCGGCAGCGCGCTCCGGAGCCCCGGGCGGCCCGGCACCGGCTGCTGCACCGGCCGGGAGCGCCGCTGGGAGCCCCGCGGCCGCCGCCAGCCGGGAGCCACCGAGCCCTGAGCGCGGCCCGGTGCTCGCTCGGGTGTGCTGCTGCCCCGCGCAGCCGCCACAGTGGTTCTGCCAGCCTTAGGCCCTTAAGGCTGCTTTGGGAAGGCTGGACCAAGGCAGACTCGGATCTAGAAAAGAAAACAATAATTAATTTAGATTTTTTTTTTCCCAAAAAAGAGCTTAAGTCAGTAAAAAGAAATCCGTACCACCGTCCTGCCCAAGCTCTGCCACTAGGGCCAGGGAGACTGGCCAGACGAGCGACGCTGTGAAACCCAGCTCTCACCTTCAGCACAGACATTACAGCAAGTTCATCGCCAGTCTGAGCGGGACTAGAATTGGCAGTGGTGGATCTGGGCACAACCGCCTGTTATATCTCTGCTCAAAACACATTTGCAAAAACAAAACTTTGATTGTCACTTACATGAGCTTGAAGTATGCTAGAGAGGGTGAGTGTCCAAGGTGTGCACAATTCTGTTCTGTTAGCATTATGTTATTTCCTTCTGTGTCAAATACCTACATGTTTGTTATGGAAGTTCTCATAATCACTACCATAATTTAAAAAAAAATAATTGAAAGTCATGTATTTAAAAAAATAATAATGCCATGGTTTTAATAAACAGAGACAGGGAAAAAGAAGCCTAACAACGTTCCTTTAGGGCATACATAGTTCTGAAATTAATTCACAAACATGATGAAATAGCCTTCTGCTTCTCCTTTGGGAAAGCTAATAAAAATTATTTTAGTGAAATATGAGCATATACAGTACAGTTTTTAAAGGTGCAGAAATCCAGGTAGATAGGCTGTGATCAATGCAGCAGAATTGTTTCAGAAAGTGACAGTTTTCTCTTTTATATGGAAAGAAGTATGCTTGTGTAATTACAAAGTATTGTATTTGGGTTTTTCCCTAAACAGCTAGCCAAGCTCATTAGTTTACAAACAAATAAAATTCCTACATTTCTAACTATGCTTTCTTAGGGACGAAGTACCTTTATGCAATTTTAAAGACTCTTTTGAAAACACACATATCCAGAATTAGCTTAAGACTAAATTATTTTGGATTGCCCAAGAGGTTGTGTTTTGGTTTTCGTTTTAAAGATCTTTCCTCTCTACCTCAGCAATTCAGAGGTTTCAAGCTGCTCCCGAGGAATCTCATCTTACCAGCCTAGCCACCTACATTTGCATCTGGCCAGCCAAAACTCTCTTCAAATTCCTGCTATTAATTAGTTCTTGAGCTTCGGGTCACATTTTTCACACCTCATTACTGCCTGCAAAACTTCTGCTTTTGAATAACCGGTACTTGTACTGGTATAAACACAGAAGCTACAGTTCTCATCTATTTTGTACGGGGCAGCCCCAAGTGCCAGTTGAGGACAGGGCTTCCCGGCTACAGCTGTTCTGGAATGCAACTCAGCAAAAATTCCCTCTGTGCTTTGTGTCTCGGATCACACATCTTGCGTATGTATCAACAAAATTAAATTGGAAAAATTGTTCTAATAAATGTGTAAGCACTCAGATAAACCAAGGTGTGCTGGTGAATCTCACACCCTTCAAAAGCAGCAATGCAGCCCATTGATAGTTCTTTGCTGAAGAGTACTGCTGCTTTCACATACTGTTCTTCACTCTGCCTGTTCAATCAAGTAATTAATTGATACTTTTAAAAAAGTCCTGTAGATTTCTTTAGTTATATCATCTACACAAAAAGAATCAGGATTAATTGTAGGAGTTTCTTGGTACTTAAAGTCACCTGGGACTGCTGGAAAACATCACGTTGAGCACACGGTTTTAACCACACAAATCTGCAGGCATCACTCTCCCAGTTGTTGCCTCTGTCCCTGTCGCTATAGAAACAGATCACACTGCCAAAAATGGAAGGATGATAATCATCTGGGAGAAAAAAGAAAAAAAAAAGAAAAAAAAAAAAAAAAAAAAAAAAAAAGCTGGGAGCACAGCTAAAGATTATTCTGAAAGCACTCTCATACATTTTCACATTAATCCCTTTTTGTAAGAGAGACAGCCAGAAGCAATCAAGAGAAGTGGAAGCAATGCTTTACATTTCAGGAGAAACCTCGAACAACATTTTCTCTCAATTATCATTTTAAGTTTTTTAATATGGGCAAAACAAACTACATTACATTACAACAAACAGTTTCTGATCACTGGAAGCGGCGTGAAGTCCTGCCTGCTGGACTGAAGAGTCATGGCCTGGTGCCTTTTTCTCTGCATTGCACTCAGAGTTGGGGCTGTTGATTCCGACAGGCCGGGCGGCAGCAGGGAGGCTGCGGCTGCCCAGCCCTGCCGTCGCTCACCGGCAGCTCGCACCGCACAACGGCCGCAGGTGGAGCACAGCCCCAAGGGAAAACGCCGTCGTTGCATTCCCGGCCTTCCTCCTGCCTCGCCGAAGGCCGCGGGACCCAGGCGCAGCCATGGAGCGGCGCCGGGTGCCGGCACAGGCCGGGCCGGGCTGCGGCAGGCCCCGGCACAGCAGCAAGAGTCGGTCCAGGGACGGCCGCGACAGGAGCTCGGCACCGGCGAGGGCCGCGGCCGCGCTCTCTCGTGGCCATCCCCGGGCCTGGGACAGCTCATCCCGGCAGGACCGGGAGCCGCCCTCGGGCACGGGGCTGCCCGGGGAGCTGGACCGGCGGTGCTGGATGGCGCTGCGCTGCGAGCCCCTGCCGCCGCGCCCGGCCCGCCCAGGTACCGCTCCCACCGCGCTGCTCAGGGCGGGCTCCGGCTCCTCCGCGGCTGCGGGACTTACACAAGGGTCAGGCTGCGTTCACCGAATGTTTCCTTCGAGCTGGCTTCACTCAGCTTTTCGGTTTATAACAGAGCCTTCTCTTTCATCTTAGTCTTTTGAAGAACATATTAAAAAGGGGACCCGGCCAGCCTCAGACCTCTACTGTATTTATGCAGGTTTCTCAGGGAGCAAACCCAAACGTGTGTCTATGTTTAAGCAGAGAACCAGTCCCACGGTGCGCTGTTGGCAAAATCAGAGGAGTCGCTGGTGAGGAGAGAGGCAGGTGGACATCCTCCAGCACCTTTTCTGGATGGACAACGATACTATGAAAAGGTGCTTTCCCTCTTTTAAGTAAATATTATAAAGCAGACAATTTTCGACACCTTTTCAGTGAAAAAAGAAACCCTTAAAAAATCTAAAAGAGGTGCTTTATGCCTGATTTCATCCGTTAAAATCACCCCCTAAATAAGCTACACTTTCCGCAAGCATCTAGTGAGGTATTCCAGTTCCCTCACAGGTGTCCTAAGGACTAGGTAAGTATGCAGCAGCCTATCCTTATAGCTAACTTCCAAGCCAGGTTGGATTTTTGGGCAGCTGACTGCCCAAATACACTTTTGTTTTCAGTTACAGTGAGAGTGGGCCCTGACCAAGACACAGCTTTTGATCTTTGTTCCCTGCCTGGGAACTGGAAGTTGTTGAAATGTATTATCTTCAAAATCTCTGTCCCTGCTCACTTCAGCTAAAATTGGTCATCCAAGTCTTTGAATTGTAAATCCTCAGAGTAAGACTGGCTGGCAGGTGAACTTAAACCTCAGCTTCCTAGGAAATTAGAACTTAGTTCAGGAAGATAGAAAAGAATGTACAAACACTGAGTCAGGTATTTTCTGATGTGACATGCAGGGATTTACATGTGTACAGTGCAGCAGTGGTACAGTGTAAATTAATCTCACTGTTTGCAGCATAAACAGAATTAACCCACATTACTCAGGCTTTCTGCTTTCTGGGCCCTGTCCTTAGTGTTTCCATTAATGAATTACCTGAGACTAATTCCATGGAGCTAAATGAACAGACTCCTGTTTCTTGACAAGCTGGCTTGGATGCCCATGATAGATATTGCTGTACATCCCTAAATTTATTCTTTGAGCAGGTTTTAATTTTCAGATTTTTTTAATGTATATCTGTAGTGCCTAAAAATGCACATGCTCATATCACTGTACGTTTAGATATTGGGGGAAAAAACCCCACTTACTAATCACAGCCTTATGTCTCCTTCACAGAGCACTAAATTCTCAGGAAAGGTGAGATTAAATGTGCCTCCTGTACTTCTTTTTCTGATATTCATGACAGCTAGTTGCAAAAAGAAACTGGCTTTTTTTTTTTTTCCAGAGTTCTTTAAAAATACTCCACACTCATAATGGGTAAGGTCCCAAGACAATTAGTAGTTTAAGACAATAGCTTGGTCAGTATTAATAGGGGACAATTGGTTGTTGTGAGGACATTTGACTGATGAACTGTTACTCGTTCCAAGCTTTTGCAGTCTGATCTTTTTTTTTTATCAAAACACACAGAAAATTTGAAGTAAAAATATAGAGAAGAATATTTTAATTTCACTATTGTTTTTACTTAGTGTTTATGTGTAAAAATATTCAGTTAGGACACCAAGCTCAGTTAACTGTTGTATTACAGTTTAACTGTATTTTTAAATGTGGTTTCTTCCCAGACTTAATGCAGAAGCAAGTACTCTCTGAGATTCATTCTTAGGAGTGAAAGAACCTCTGTTGTTGCTGGTGATGCCTCCATAAGAAATGTGTGGCAGACATCTGGGTCCATTAAAGTCTTCAGACATCTGGTTTATTAGTCTGTGAAACCAACCCTTATTAAACCCTCAAGGTGTAAGAACAGCTGACCTAAGTTAAGGATGTCAGATAGATGGAGCAGGGACTCTGAACTAGAGTTTATCTCCTCAAATTAAAAAGATTTGAGGCCGTTTTTGGGAGGGGAGAAAGTTTGTCAGAATGGCTTTTGGTTACCCAACTTTTTTGGTTGTTAACTTACTCTGTTTTCTGCCAGTTCTGTGGTTGTAACTTTTTGTTCTTCGTTCATGAGAGAAATACACCAGGTTGAAAAATTTTAAGGGTGTATATATCACAGAGTTATTGTTTGTTTTCTCTTTCCCAGGGATTGTACAAAGAAGCATTAAAGCAATTTGAAAAAATCAAGGATACAGATTTTCAAGCAATGTATCAGCTTGGTGTAATGTATTATGATGGACTTGGCACTAAAAAAGACCCTGTGAGTAATTTAGCTGCACACTTTTTATCTTTCTTCTATTATCGGCTGATAATTACTAGGAGCTTCTATGTAAGCATGATTATTTAGTTTTAAATTAACAGCCTTTTCATTTAGAGAGAGTTTCATAAAGTGCAGATGTTTACAGAGCATCATTAAAGAATAAAGGGTTGAGGAGGTTCTCAAAAATGGTTATAATAAAATAGGAATAAAAACATACAGTCATTTCTATTTTTCAATTAACTTTCAAGGGCTTGGTTGGACTTGATGTGGATGCTATGTTAAAAAATTGCTTTAAATTTTTTACTTTTTGATAAGCAGATTATGTACATGAAAATAAAGTGAGTCAAAATGGAAATCAAACAATTACATTTCAAAGCATAAGATCTCTGGCAAAAAGGCTTTTTTAAAGTACTTTCTATTCTTTTAGAACAGATGCCAGAGATGATTGTGCTTCTGCCAATGGTTGACAGTATTATTCTTAAATGAGACACATGAAAAATTTCATTTGTAAGCATTTTAAAGAATTCAAACTGAAGAATTATATTACAAAAAAAGAAGACAACTGAATGTTTTGCTACAATAAGGAGAGTTAATTTGTTGGTGGAGATGATCTTAAAAAGTGGAATGAGGAAAAAACAAAAGCATTAGGAATAAAAGGGTTGATTGTAAGACAGAAGGCCAAAAAAAAAAAAAACTGAACCAAAGAGTATATTAACAAATGTAGACTCCTGTCTGGTCCTTACAGCATTGTCAGCAGAACTTGAAACATTCTGATTGGGGTTTAGAGGTAGTTTATTTTTTCTGTATGTCTGCATAATTACCACGTTTGTTTACTTGCAAATAAACATTTTAACAAAGTTATTTCTTTCTTGTGTATTACAATATGAAAGCTAAATAAAAGCAAAACCTTTTATAAAGGACTGTTTCCAGTGTATTTAAACAGGGTGTCCATGCTAAATCCTAACTGTGTAAATCTTGTTTCTAAAGTACTTCTGAGGCCCAGTTGCTCATATGCAATGTTCTCCATCTGCTTATTTAAAATTGTCAGATTTTGTCCTTTATGAGTCTGAGGTATTTTAATTGCAGGGACTTCAAAGTGTACTATGTATCATGTTGCCTTCTTGTTAATGTTGTTTTATGATTTCAGATACAATGTGCAATATTAAAAAGTTCTCAGAATTCTGAAATTGAAAATATTACAAGTGTAGAATGTGACATTCATTTATGTAAGCACAATAATATTTTTGGGGAAAAAAATTGTCAGTGAAGAAGAATAATATGTTATCAAATGAACACTTACGAGGAAATGTTTCACACTAGAAATATGCTGGGCTCAAAAACTGAGGGGCTGTCTAATAACCGAAGATCAGTTCTGCTTTTGTATGACACTGTTTCCCAAGCTGTCCAGCCAGTATGCCTTAGCCTTTCTTCAAAGGGGAAATAATTACCTATCTGGCAGAAGTTAGTGCATTCTCAGGTTATATATTTCATCCTCTTCACAGTCTGAATATAACAACTTATATGGCTGAATTTTAGGAAAGGGGAGTGGAATACATGAATAAAATACTCAACTCCGATTCCCCAGAAGCAAGTCACTTGAAGTTTGCAGCTGCATACAATCTTGGCAGGGCATATTATGAAGGATGTGGTGTTAAACATTCAACTGAAGAGGCTGAAAGGTAAGAGCAGTCTGTGATTTTCCTGAAAAATACAAGATTGTGTGTTTCTTAAACTTTGTTGTCCCCATTTTCTTAGGTTGTGGCTTACTGCTGCAGACAATGGGAATCCAGAAGCAAGTGTAAAGGCCCAGAGTGCTTTAGGAATGCTTTATTCTATGCCGTTTCTAAAAAATCTGAAGAAGGTAAAGCCCTACCTTTTGAAATAAAAAGTAGTCATGACTAATGTTTAATTTCAGAGAAATAATACAGTGGTATATTTGACTCTGAAAGTTGTATTTAGAGTAGTTAGACCTTATCATCCATTTAAGCCTGTGTGAACAGATAGCCAGAATTCCTCATTTTGTCTCACTTAACACTAAGATTTTTTTTTCTTTAGTGAGAGTATCAGAAAGAATGATAGAATGGATTAAAGTTTTGTCAGCTTTGGTTACCTTCATAATTCCAGCAGGTAACACTGATTGACAGCTCTGACTGTAAATGAAGCACGTTTAAAAGCCTTACAAGGATTCTTCTTTCTTTTATGTATAAGCACTTCTTACAGGATGATTGGTGTAAAAGCTTTTATGGAAAGAGTATACAAGAAAACCAGCTACATACTGCAGCTTTGTGCCTCTTGTTTAGGCCTTTTTCTGGCATTCAGAAGCATGTGACAATGGAAATCTGGAATCAAAGGGAGCACTTGGCATTATGTATCTCTATGGACAAGGTACACGTCGAAACAGTACAGCTGCTTTGGAGCATTTGAGAAAAGCAACAGAACTTGGAAACATCTATGCTCAAGGCCATCTTGTGGAATATTACTACACCAGAAAATTTTACTCAAAAGCTGCTGCACTAGCCAAAAGGTAAATTTTGTTCTATTTTTCATTAAGGTTCTGCGTGCAAGATCACATAAAACAGATTTAAATTATTAATAAGATGATGGTCCTGTCTATTGAACTCAAGAAATGTTTGAGATAATGAATTGCAAAACGTCTTTAACAGAATAGCCAATGACAAAATAAATACTACAAGGTTCTCAATTCCTCAGTATGATTAAACTTTTCCTTCTGATTCAATAAAGCAGAACAGCCTTGAACTAGAAACCAAAGCAGATGCCCACATGCAATCCTGCCTTCCTCGTTCACTGTCTCCTCTAGGTTCCTGCCTTCACCATTCCCTTTAACCCCTAAAGTCATAGCGTCAAAGACTCCCCAGGTTGGAAGGCATTTCAGTAATCATCTGGGCCAACCTTTCTTGGCAAATGCACAGTCTAGACACAATGGCCCAGCATCCTGTCCAGTTGAATCTTAAACGTGTACAAGGTCAGTGAATCCACCACTTCCCTTTACCTGCTTTTCCATCTTTGCTTTTCCATCTGTGGGGTCTCTTGCTTCCTACTTTCCTTACCTTTAAAGGGGATGAATTTCAATAATGTCCAGGAGAGCATTATTGAAAAATTCCCAGCACTCACTAGCTCCTTTATACTCCATAGAAGCTTCCTATGGAGACCCTCCCAACTATGTTGTGAGCTGAAGTTTACTATAGTGAAATCTGAAACCTTTGTGTTAGTACTAACCCTCAGAGTGCTCAACTGGATCCCAGATCCTCAATATTGTGATCACTGCACCCAAGGCTGTCACTCACTGAGGTCCTACAAAGCAAATTTTCTTGATTTGTGAGTAGCAAGTCAAGCAGTGCCTCATTCCTGATTGGGACATCTGACATTTGGTTGAGGCAGCTGTACTCCACTGCTCCATTCCAGGAACTTCATGGATGTCCTGGGAGTTGCTGTATTCTTCTTTCACCTAATGCCTGGGTAGTTGAAGTCACCTTTAAGATCCAGATTCTGTTACCAAAGCTTACTTAAGTGACCCAGGTATTATCTCGTTGTTCTTACTGTCTCGATTCAGAGGTCAGTAACAGATGCTTAGTGTAAGATCCCTCTTAAGATGATCCCTCTGATCCTGACCTAGGGGCATTCAATAAGGCTTCCAGAATTGCCACAGTTAACTTCTCCACATTCAAGATTCTCCTTAATTCAGTGCATGACCCCTCCTCTTTTTGTCTTTACAAAACAGCCTATCCATCCATCACAATCCTCCGGTCACGCGAGTTGTTCCACCTTGCTTCAGTTATTCCTGTGGCTGTGTGACTTTGAGTGGGTGCAGAGCTCCAGTTCCTCCTGTTTGGTCCCCAGGCTGTGTGCACTGTACTCATACACTTAAGGTGGTTGTCTTCTGGTCCTCACCTGGGAAACAGCTAAGGAACATTTGTTCCTGCTCTGGTTGGCCTGGCTTATTCCCCAGTTGGTTGGAGCATGGCAAAAGTGCAACCACTTCAGGTCTACTTCTGCATCTTGAACTAGTCAAGTAGGACCAGAGCAGTGTTGGCACAATGATCTATGGCTGATAAACAACACATTTCTGTGACAAACCTCAAGAGTTTACCAGTGTATTGATAAAAGTTCAGTCTGTCAATCAGATTATTGATTTGCTGGAAAAAAAGATGCAGATAGACTGCTTGCACAAGTGGCACACAATAACATTTGTGCTTTTTGGGGTATGTCCACATAGCTGCTGCTGCACAGCAGTAAATATGTCACAACTTGCCATCTTATAGAAGCTGCACTATATGCCACTGCATAGTAGAAGCTCTGGTAGTTCAGTAGTTCAGCAATGGATGCTGTTTGCTCTACTCCATGCTGAGGACTATTTCTCTGTGAACTGCTGCTTTTCTTTTGCACTGTCAATAGAGCCATAACTGTTCAGTCTTGTCTAGCCTGTCTCACTGGGAATGAAGCCCCTCCAGTCAATGCTGCATGGTAGATCGTCCAGACTTTATTAAAGAGTGCACCTCATTAGCTGCAATAGTGATTGCAGAAAATAGCCGTGAAATCCCACAGTACTGTCAGAGGTGACCATTTCTGAAATAAAACACTGAAACCATACTTGAAACAGTTCCACCTAATTAGAATTGAAGATAGCCTTGAGGCAAAAATCTCAGCAGTTCAGCCAGTAATATCAAGCACCAATACATTTTCTGCTAAAATTTGTCCTTCCATGTTCATAGCAACTACATTTGTTACATTATATACAAGATAAAACATTATGTGACTATGTACAGTATAACCTTGCCTAATATTTGGAGTCTACATTACCTACTGATACTTCAGATAATTCAGTTATCCCACACAGCTGTACTTACCAGTTGCTGTGGTATGTTCTTGAAGTCAGCTATGCTGAAATAGAATTTTTACCTGACTTGACTCGATATCATTGTTTGAATCAGCATTCTGTAGATTATCTTTTGGAAAGGAAGGGGAAAATGTTATCCATCAGGAATAGTAAGAGGTAATATATTACTGTTGTATTATTTCAATGTTCTTCCTAATAAGAACAATTGTGTTACTGTGTTTGTTAATGGGACCAAATTAGGTGTAAGAACATCATTCTCAACACATGCCTGCTAGCATGCACTGGCATGCAGAGGGTCTCTGAGAACAATCTTTCATAAACACTGATTTATAGGAAGTATCTATAAACTGAAATTATTTGCACTTTTTCTTCTTCTGTCAAGTCTGTGGTTTTTACACAGCTAAAACGATGCATAAAGAAGCCTATAATTACTGTTTGGTACCTGGAAAGGATATGGGGCTTGGGGGTATCTGTTTTAAGACAACAGAAAAAAATTAATTCCCACTTAAGTATATTATTTTCTAATATTATAGTGATTATACTAGATAATTTAAGCTTGACAGTTAAAACAAATTTTATTTTGTCCCTCTGATTCTTAAAATGGCTCCTAGTAAAAACATACTGAACTAAGATGACAGCAAGCATGCAGAAGAAAGGAAATAATTAAGCCGAGATAGCGATAAGTGGTTTTCCTAGAGTTTTATAACCAGGGGCTCTCAATATGTCCAAGATTCAAGATTTTCAGATTACTATGATTTGCCAATATCCTTGTAAGAACTGGAAATTTTAGAATCATACAATCACAGCATAGATTGTATCAGGTTTGGATTGACTCTTTAAAGATTGTCTAGTTCCAGCCCCTGTGCTGTGGGCAGGGACATTTTCCAGTACCTGAGGTTGCTCATGTAGTGAAATAAGATTAAATAAGAGCTACATGAAATAAGAGCTTTGCCTTTCTTCCACATATAATTTCCATAAAATAATTTAATAGGAACAATTAGCATAAAATATGCTGCCTTTTATAACTAATATAATTGTACTGAAAGTGACTTCAAGAGTTGTGTACTTGCTTGCTGTTTAATATCATGACATTCAAATAAGACTAACTTAAATACAGAATAGAAGAATCCTCATAAGACACCACATACATGTAAATTCCAGCTTATTTTGGATAATAATACAAACTTTAATTATTGCTTGGACTAGCAATTATTTAATGTAATGCTCTGAATTCCACAACAGGGCTACAGCAAATGATGACATCAACATGCTAGCCAATAGAACTGATTGTCATCCAATGTATATAGCCAAGGGGGCTGCTATGGCTGCTTTCTATTTGGCTAGATGCCTCCAGCTTGGCCAAGGCACAGAGAAAAACAAGTGTGCTGCTGCAAACTATTATTCTAAAGTAAGTTGAGAAAATACAGACTGGTTTATATCTCGTGAAATAGAGAGATACCTTGGATCTAAGCCTAGTCTAAACTTGAGATTTTATTAAGGACTCCAACACTGTGTTAAAAAAATATTTGCAAGAACAGGTAGACTGATAGAAATGTACTGAAAACTACTAAAAATAGCCTTGAAAGGATGTTATCTGCCCACTTGCTTAAACAAGCAATATAACCAACAACAACAATAAAAAAAAATCTATGCCAATCATCACAGAAATGAGCTTGGTAACTGGCAAGATAAATTAGCTAAACAATTTGAATCATTTTATCAGAAATAAATTTGCTTTCTAGCATTCTCTCACAACTGAAAAATCATAACTTTTCCTTATACTTTAGAGTCTGTGACAATTATAACCTTTATTAAATTGGCCATAACTGGTTCTCATGCTTATTTTTGTATTTACATTTTCTGTGATAGCTGAGGATCTACTGCTTTTCTTGTTCAATATATATATGGGGAAAAAAAAGAGTTACATTTTTTCCAAAGTTCTAAATTTGGAGTAAGACTGATGCAAGGTAATTTTACCAGCTGAAGAGAATGTAGCAAGTTGGCATCTGTGTTTCAGAGACTCTGTGGTTTCTGTGCATGTAGTGACCAGTTTTTTTCTGTAAGTAGAATACTGTGGTGTCCATCTTGGTGCAATCTAAATGAATGGAGAGTTATGGAAATAATAAATTATCAAGCAAATTTTGTGGCTCTTTACCCAGGGAAGTCACTGATAGAGAAGGCTTAGCAGAGCAGGTAATCTGAATACAGACATTTTAAATATTTAGTTCTCCCACTGTGAAATATGTTATTGAGGATAGGATGAGGAGGCAATCAGGGAAGGAACATAAGCTGTGGTATCACAGCCATTCGTAGTTAAGGCATTGAAGAGGCCCATCAGGATTAAATTGCTGCATGGCTTTGTAGGAATGTAGCCCTTCCCACTGTCTTCTAAAGTGCAGTAAAACTGCCACAACTGAAAGACTTCAGCTTTCACTCATTATTCATTATACACCTGAGACTGATCTAGGAATGTCCCTAATGTATCACTATAAAGAGATGGTTTCTATGACTGATGTCATGTGTCTCTAAATCAATAACAAAAGAGAAGCAACATAAAATAAACAAGAAAATTCAATTTTTTTTTTTGTACCTGCAAAATTCTCATGTTAACTGTACAATTACACTTACTTAAAGTCATATTTGTTTTAATTGACTCCTTAGCTCTGGTTTTGGCGTACCATTCTTAGACCAAGTCGGTTTTGTAAGAGATGAGAGATTATGGGCATGCCTAAGGGTCCTGAAATAGATGATGGATGTGAGTGAAACTCATCCAGTCTGTAAGCAGATTTATTTTTCTGACTGTGGTGCTGCATATGCCATGCCAACACACAAAATAAAAAAAAGCCAAGACTAATACTATAGTCCAGTATGCTAATTTTAATACTATTTTTTTCATTATGTGGCATCAGAAAAAGGATTCAAATCCAAATATATTAACTCTTCAATACTTTAGCAAGTTGACAGTCTTTTTTTTTGACACTTAAAAGACTTATTAATGTCATATTGATAACATACAATTTTATTGTAGCTATAAACCAGAACTGATATTCTTTGTTTTTAAAGGCATGCCATCTGGATCCTGCAGTTGCTTCTCACCTTGAACTGGCAGCTAATCTTGGGAGAATTTAGTGTTTCTTTTCACTGTAACTGGTATATAAATATATCTTCTACAATAAACCATCATTAATCTCCAGCAATTATAGATTGTTCATCACTTACTACTTGCCTTTCAACTTTCTATAAATTATCATTTAAAGCAATTCACTGATTCATTTTATCTAAAATAAAGAGAAAGTAAAAAGCTCATACTATCTTTAACTCAGATGAAGCCAAGACAGATTTTTTTTAAATCATATTGAAGACTTTAGGTTTATTAAGGACATTTCACTGGGACAGATTTATTTTCTTCATGTCATATTGCTACATAGCACATTAATCAAAACAAAACCAAATAAAGATGGTTGTTTCCTTTTTGTATCTATAATATTTAAATTTTAATATTCTGAAAAGCTTGAACCCAAACTTGTCTAATTTTCACATACAGCCCACTCACAGGCCACGGCCATTTTTAAAGCTTAATTTGTTAGTGGTGCTTGTACCTCCTTCCACATACTTTCTACAGCATCTAGATTTACTTAAAAGTCTTTATACGTATTACTTTTGGATTGCAGAGATTCAAAGTTGAAAACTGTCCAGTAGAACACCAAGCTTTACAATTCAAACCATACCAGCTTCTCAAACTAATAAATACTACTTACAGAACTGTGGAAAAAAAGCCTCTAACATTAGTATGGAAAAATTGAATATACATCCTCAGGACAAGGCCTGTTTTGCTCAATCCTTCATACTGCGTTCATATTGTCTTTGCATTAGAAATAGTTGGAAATCTTTTGGCTAGGAGTATTTATGTCTGAGCAACATCAAGCTGGATCTTTTATCAAAAGATACTTTGATTAAACACTGGGAAAACTTACTGATTGCTATGGTAAGCTTGCACATTTCTAAATGCCTGTTTACTTGTGAAGCTTTCTAAGTGCAGAATTTGCCTTGCTTCTTGGTACTGTGCCACAACTTGAAAACTCTTCTGAAACTGTTGGAACAGAAGGCTAGATGTTACTAAAAATGTTGATTTAAATAGATCATACAGATTGTATGTACCATACAATACAGCCAGTCATAACTGCAAGTAGTTTCTCTAAAACCACAACTGTACCAAACTGAGAAGACAGTAATGAATGTCAGCTAGGGATTTTTGATGATGTTTAATTATTTAGATGTGCATTAACATCATATTTACATATTTTTACATATATTTTTATAAAACAACCACTGAAGACCATTTTCTTTCCTTGTATAAAATAAGAGAAAGATTTGAAGGCTATTTGAAATTGGGGCATTTGAATAAAACAGCCCTGAATAATATCAGGGAAGTTATGAGAATGGTTTAATTAAATGTCTGCTTGATCATTCATAGAAGCAATTCATAAACACTAATCTCTGAACTAACATTTAACACAGGCATTCTGTTAGGACATACCAGTTTACAATACATAATTTTGACACAGACTTCAAAGCAATGTATATACTTCTTATGAAACTAGTGCTGTCAAACCCATTGATCCATCGTCAGTACAGCCTCATTATCAAGTGCTGCAATCCAGTTGTGATATTTATTGCTTATAAATGCTTCAAACTACAGGAAATCTTTGGTAAAACCAAAATTGATAAAATTTCCACAATAGCTTTACATGTAGTATTGCACAACAAGGCTTTTTCAATACACAAGAAAAAAAAAAAGGAATGCTCAGATCCTCAGTGAGGAGATTAGAACTGTACAACATTCATTAGTTTACCACTATAAGCAAAATTTCTTTCCATAAATGTTTAAAATAGCTTCTGGTTTCTTTGAGCATATATGAACATTTATTTTTCAATCTATATTTGAAACAGGAGTAGTCAAATAGAACAATTTAAATAAAAATTGGCAGCTATACAGCATTTCTTGTCTACCCTACAACAGCATCAGATCTCTTCAAGTCTGTACTTCACAAAAAACTCAAGAGGAAAGAAAAATGCTAAAAATAATCATAGTCCTCAGCCCTCTATGGAAAAGAGGAAAATAAGTTTCATGTCTATTCTTGAACATAGACATTTCTCTAGTGGTCCAATTGTGCAGATTCAAACCTAAGTGGCATTAAGCTGCTCTAAATGAGCTCTCAGCTCAGGACACAGTTCAGTTAGCAGCAGTTCCAGCAAAACCTGAAAAACAGAAAAGAGTTAAAATTATGCAGGTGCCAACCAAATTTCTTCTTCCTTTCTGTCATTTTCAGATAACCAGAAATAACAAAATCACATATGTTTGATTACAGTCATCATTTGTACAACTACTTTTCTTTTATCCAGAAGAAAAAAATGTCATTAAAAAATGTCATGTCATCTGTCCTACAGATAACATGGGAAATGTCTTAAGGCTGAAAGGAGGCAAGTGTTGAGGGCAGCTCCATTCAGATGGGGATTTCCCACCCAGTATAAACTGGTGCTGCTCTGTCAAAGACTCCACAGCATCATAAGCAAGCACCAGGGCATGCGCTTCCTCTCGGGTGCTGGGGCAGCATTCTGTGACAGGCTGCTGTCTGGAATGTGCCAGAAGAGACTGACTGGCTGTGAAGGTGTTGTACTTAGATCCAGCTGCATATTCCAACTATTCCCAACAGTTGAGGAGTGGAACTTCCAGAGGGCTGTCATGTCCTAACTATGAGCCCATCCTGGACTTCTCCTTCTCTGGGATTCTCCAAGGTATGTTTATTTTTCTAAGCTGCATGAAGAAATTAGTTTGTACCTTATGAAGTCAGGCACATTGCATGTGCCTACCACATTGGATGTGGTAGATGATCTCTTTTAGACAAAAACAATGCTGCTGTTAAACAGTCTTTTGTTATTCAAACTTAATCAAGTGATCAAACCCAGAGCAACTGACTTATTTTAATAATAAATAAATCTCTGCAAAAACACAACCCCCCTAGGCTTTAACACTGAGTGCATAGAGCTCAGTAACTTACAGGATTATGAAGTTAAAAAGCTACTTTTCTGGTTACTCACATAAAGTAGATGCTTATTAGCCTTTCTCTCTTGCAGTGCATTGAACACTTTCACTACACCATGACGGGCATTTTGTTGTCCAACAAGATTCTGCAGAGTATCTGCAACAAACATTACTTCAGTTTATGTTGTTTCACTCATGCTAGGCAAAACCTCCAGCCAGAATCATCATTCTGCTACCCAAAATCATAATGGTTGGAAGAGAACTTCAAGATCATCTAGTTCAACCATAAAGACCCATAAAGAAGGGGAAACAGAGCTACTGCATTTCATTGGTCCTTGGCTACAAGATACACAGAGTCCCCACTCACCAACCTTTTAAAAACACAGCTTGAAAAGGTACCCTTATTCTCCAGTTACCCAATAGAGTGTGCATCTCAGAACATTTTAAGCATTCCAACATGATACATCAAATGCTTTTTCAGTAGTTCACCTTACTGAGTCAAGTCTCATCTCACACATCATTAAACCTTTTACTTAAATACACCCTCAGCCACAAAGACCAACTTCTACAACATTTAAAACAAATTTAGCAGTTTAGTTGCCTTTCAATCTTCACAGAGAATACTTCCCACAAGAAGACAGTTAAAAGAATTCTAAATCAATTATTTACACTTTGGATTAAATTAGAGAATAAATAGTAATTCAGTGCTCCATCATTAATCTAAGGTGCATTCAGCTATGTTCTGACATATGGCTCCAAGCTCAGAAACAAACAGAAAATCAAATACCACAAACCAACTATGGAAAGCTATTTAGTAGCCAAGTAGATGAGTAGATAACACAGGTAGTATATGGAAGGGTTGTTTACACATCAAAAGATAAATATTTTGTATGCATACCTACTCCTTTTTTGCAGAAAAAGTTGATTAAACTACCTAATGCATGAGGGTATATGCGCTAAGTGAAGCCATAAAATAGCTCATTTTCTTCAGATGGAGCAGGAAAAAAGCATCCAAGCTATGTTGAAATGCATTTCCAAGTGTTAACAGTAATGATTTTGATTCTTTTCGGTTGGATGCCTTTGGGTTTACATGATCTCTGAGGAGTCAGAAATATGTAACTGGATTTTCTGTCTTGTGAGTGGGATGGGATGGAGCATCTCAGGATTTTGCCCCAAAAAACATGCTGGCTGAAAAGGCAGCTGCCCAGGCTTGGGAGATAAGGGTAGGCAAAGGAAAATACTGAAAAAAACCACTCCATCTAGGATCTTCTGCCCAGGCTGCAGGTCACTCTAAGTGCCCTGAGACTTCTTATCAGAAATAGACAACACACAGCACAAACAGCATAGGTAGATCCCTCTCTCTCCAACTTCAAAATATAAGACGAAGAAGTAATTGGGGTGGTGCTACTCTCCTATTTGGCAAGAAATTCCAAGTAGCAGAGCCACATATTTGCTCACAGAGAACCAGCAGAGAGAATCGACTGAGATTCATTGATGAACATTATGCACAAAAATACAGCAATTTTGATTTTGCATCCACCAATTATCCATGCCTTTTACCAGACAGGCAGAAGAGGCAAAGACTAAGACCAAAATCATCCTTATTTATGAAAATAATAATAATTTAGAACTCTACAGGAAAATAATTTGATTAACCAGTTTCCTTATTAGTTATTAAGTCTGTGATTAAAGCAGAATCAAAGTGATCTCACCTGGAATGTTTTCAAGTAGTTTTTGCTGTGCTCTCTGTTTTGTCTCTTGCTTTTGTTCATCGCTCTTGGCTCTCGGTGGTGGCGCTAACTTTCCATTTGGCCAAAAAGCATCTCGAAACACACCAATGTAGTAAACAAGCATTGGTTCACTGAACATCCAGTGTACAGTGTCACGGATTTGCCTGTAAAGAAGTGTAGACAGGAGCCCATCAGAGCTAGTCTTTCATGTTTTACCCGTATTTATTCTTTTTACTTCTCAAAGTAGTGGAAGAGATGTTCTTTTTCATGTAATTTTGCCAGTATACCTGAGTTGATTTCATTAGCATAACAGCAGGTCATATTCATCTCTGGGTGCTCTAGGATCTAGGTCACTCCAGATACCTGACTTAGATCTGGAGAAGGCTGCTTTTCAATGTAATCCACAACATACATTTCAAATTACAAGTAATACATTGAAATACACATCAAAACTACATTTCAAGGATGGGCACAACAAATGCTCCACCCGGAAAATCAGGTGGATAGAAAATAGAAGCAAACTCCAAACTAGTTGCCTGCAGAGATGTGCCTGCTAGGATAAAAATAGCCAGTTTTGATAGAAGTACAGTAAATTCCTTCACAGATAGCAAAGCACATTACTGAAGGGATTAGAAACGGAGATAGCAGCCTCTTCTTCACTCACTGTAGCCTTCAGCACCGGGATTCTAAGGTAGAGAGCAGGCTTCAGTCAGTACTGCTGCCATGCAGCCAAATCCCTTTAAATCAATAAAGTCAACCTACATGTAAAAAGCTACACAGGAACTTTGCATGCAAGCTATGCTCACAAATTCTCTGCCTCTCTATCCTCCTTCAGGCGTTTTCCAGTTATCAGCAGGGTATGAACAAATGAACCAATCAATTTAAAATTCAGTGAGTGGATACTGTCTGAGACCGGTACAATTTACTGCTACATAATATACATAAGAGGCTA